CCTTCTTCAAAGCAGTGGCGGTCAGCTAATCCCACAGTTAAAGGTCTAATTCGTGAGTGGGACAAGTTGGTGTTGGACGAGTATGGCATACTGCACCGCAAAACATCACAACGAATGCAGCTAGTGTTGCCTGCTCAGTTTAAGAGTACTGTCTTGAGGGAACTGCATGATGTGATGGGTCACCAAGGTCTTGACCGCACAACCAGCCTCATCAGAGATCGTTTCTTCTGGCCCTACATGCAAAAGGAGATTGAACACTATGTGCTGAGAACCTGCTCATGCATAAAACAAAACAAAAAAACATGCAGAGAGATAAGGGCACCCCTCAAGAGCATCAAGACGACACGTCCATTTGAGTTAATATCCATTGACTTCCTTCACTTGGACAAGTGCAAAGGGGGTTACGAGTACATCCTTGTTATTATTGACCATTTCACTCGATTCGTGAAAGCATATGCTACAACTTCAAAATCTGGAAAGACTGTAGCAGATCGTTTGTTCAATGACTTTGCCCTGAGGTTTGGGTTCCCCTCGCGAATTCACCATGACCAAGGCAGGGAATTCGAAAAATCAACTCTACGATCAGCTCCGAAAATATAGCGACATCACTGGCTCTAGAACGACTCCATACCACCCGCAAGGAAACGGACAAGTAGAAAGATTCAATCTGACCATTCTGCAAATGCTCAAAACTCTCACAGAGAAAAATAAATTGAATTGGAATTGAATAAGCTAGTGTTTGCCTACAATTGTACTAAAAGCGAAATGACTGGATCCTCACCTTTCTACCTAATGTTCGGTCACTCTCCAAGGCTTACAATTGATGCATTGTTTGGCCTCCATCCAGACAAGGTTTCCATCGACCACAATGAATATGTGGAGAGGTGGACAAAGGGTATGCAAGAGGCTTATGAGATTGCCAGTGAGCATGCAAAGAAGTGTACTGAGAGAAACAAAAGAAATTATGACCAAAAAGTAAGATGTACTAATCTATTTCCTGGCAGTAGAGTTCTGATGAGAAATCTGACTCAAAAAGGGGGCCCAGGAAAACTTAGACATTTCTGGGAGGATGAAGTCCACATTGTCACTCATCCGCCAGGCTGCTGAGGATACTCCAATCTATGAAGTGAAACCAGAGCAGAGCAAAGGCAGATCAAGAGTGTTGCATCGCAATCATCTTCTACCCTGTGATCACTTACCTCAGGTTACCACACCAACTCAAAATACTACACTAAAGCAAAAACACCAACAGAAAAGCACATCTTTACCTGCTGAGAGAAGAGAGGAACATGAGCCACAGAATGACAGTGAAAGTGATGAAGAGTACTATGTGCAAGTTGATCCCTACCAATTCAGAATACAGCCGAATAGTCATAATCAGATGGAAAAGAAACCACATCACACCTGTTACATATGGGTGAGATATCCTCAGCTCAGCTGGAACGAATGCTTGAGTTGAAAGTGTTACCACATCTAGCTGAACAGGAACAAGATGTACTAGAACATGCTGATGTACCTGCTACAGAACAACACTTACCTGCTACAGAACGACATTTACCTACTAAAGAACACTCACCTGCTACAGAACGACACTTACCTACTAAAGAACACTCACCTGCTGCAGAACGACACATACCTGCTGCAGAACACTTACCTCCTGCAGAACGACACTTACCTGCTACAGAATGACACTCCCCTGCTACAGAACGACACTTACCT